GCTGTGGCTCAAGTGGTAGAGTGCTAGCCTTGAGCTGAAGAGCTGAGGGACAGCACCCAGGCCCAGAGTTCAGGCCCCATGACTGGACCCAAAAAAGAAAAAAAAAGAAAAACATACAAAGGACAAGAGTAAAGATGGCAATGAAGTCCTGCTCTACTGTAACCAAGAACAGCAATGGTAAATCAGACAGAACCTGGATCTGCTGTAAGAGGAGGCCATTCCAACAGCAGCAAGATTAGCGGACCAAGAGAGACTGAGGAAGAACACAGTCAATGCGTTCTAGTCTCCTGATCTGTAATGAACTAAATAAACTCATCATTCTAAAGGTACCTTATGAACAGGAACTGAATGAGAAACTTGAGAGTGACAAAGTATCCCAAGTTTCAAAAGAGAAGAAAATATATCAATAAACTTCTGAGTCTCATCAATAAGAAAATAATCAAAGCCAAAAAGGAACTTGAAAGTAGCCACAATTACTTACTAAAAATAAAATCTAAGTCAGGCTCTAGTGGCTCATACTGTAAACCTGGCAACTCAGAAGGCTGAGATCTGAGGATTGAAGTTTGAAGCCAGCACAGGCAGAAAACTCTATGAGACTCCTACCTCCAGTTAACCAGTAAAAAGCCAGAAGTGGAGGTGTGGCTCAACTGGTAGAGTGCCAGCCATGAGCAGAAAAAGCTAAGGGAGAGCACCTTGAGTACACCTTGGTACCAAAAAGAAAAAAGAAAAAGAAGATATACAGAGCCTCCCTGTAAAGGTTTGATACTCACATTCTCCAGGTCCTCTTTCAGATGAGTCTCATGCTGTAACTTCTCATGTAAATTTCTGTTTTCTATTTTTAATAGTTCAATTTCTTCCTTGAGCTCAGTTTGAAGAAGTGAGAGTTTAACCTTATGCTCAGCTTCCAAACCCAGGATTCTAGATGCTACCTGTGCATCTTCCTCCATTGTTATGTCCTGCATACACTGGAGATGCATCTGCACGAGGTCTGAGAAAAAAGGAAACGGAGAGAGTAATATACTATAGCTCATCTATGTTATCTGAACTTTATCCTTCAGATAACTCAGGCAACAGAGACATCTAGGCTCTGCACACTCAGGTGCAGCTCTCGTAGTACCTCTGCCAAAGGCACAGCACTGTCAAACCCCTGAGTCTCCACAGCAGACACCTAGCCAGCCCAGGCTCTTCCTCTAAGTCAGCTGTGACCTGCTGCCTGAGGCTGGTCAGCCAGGGCAAGCCTTGCACTAATCAGATGTGGGTGCTATGAAGGTTATTTGAAGCCTCAGATGAAGGACAGTGCCTCAGAGGCCGGTGAGTCCATGAGCCAAACAGAATGCTCCCCTACGCTAGGCCTGAGTCTCCTTCAACAAAAGAGGGTAAAAAAAGACCTAAGTCCTGGGATCAGAACAGAACAAGCTGTCCTACCAGCAGCATGGAGCAGTAGCAGCACCTGAGGACTGAACACACTGAATATACAGCCAGTCCTTGGGTG